CTCACTAGCAGTTCTATTTAACAGAGCTGAGAGCTTAACAGTCATATGTTAGGGCAACAGCACACGAACTGTAAATGTAATTTGGCTGCTCTTAAGAGAACTGCTAAAGATATTTAACAGTTGTGGTTCTGAAATCAAAGAACAAAATTAATTTTTTCCGTTGTTGCGTTCTGTATAAATATTAAATAAATTATTTAAAATGACTTGTTATACTTTGTTTATCTTTTTACACATATATTTAATTCAATAAGGCAAAGTTGCTAACTAAAACAAACGCTTTGATGGCTCTGCTTCCGGCTCGGCATTGCTGTCCAGCGGGCGAGTCAGCTCAATGGAGTTAATGCGGATCATTGTATTGGGAGATCGCTGGAAGTTGATGCGCATATACTGTTTCCTGCGCTTCTTCTTGAAGTGTGTCTTCGTGTGCGTCAGCGTCTTCTCGATAATGGTGGCCTTAACAGTGACCAAGCCCGCTTCCAGAATAGGCCTACCGATCAATGTGAAGTCACGGGCACCCGCCAGCAGCACTTTATCGAGGCTAATCTCATCGCCTATCGTTGGTGGCCAATATCCCTCGACTAGAATGATGTCTCCAGGTGTAATCTTGAATTGCTTGCCGCACAAATGAACCACAGCGAATAGCCGGCCCTGCTCGGATTTAGCCACCTGCTGATTAATCCGCTCGCATACTGTCTGACACTCTTTCTGATGCTCCTTTGCAATGGCAGACACATCAATAGTAGCGGGTTTGTTTTGCTGCTGTAGAGTGGGAGCTAAGCTCAGGGCACGCATTGCACCTGCAATGGAAGGCGAACATGGGAATGTTATGTCATGGCATGCTGAATAGAATTGTTTACAAGCTTACCGCATAATGTGGCACGCTGTGTTGTGTGGCGCAGCAGCTGGCGCATGCTCTGTGTGAGTAGTGACATTTTTTATACAGCACTTTARTTTCCAAAATTAATAAAGTAATAATATTAACAAATACTTGGGCAACACAAATGTGCCGATAGCTTTAGCCTCTTCGCCTATCGGTAGTGCTGTATAAGTGTTCAGAAATATCGCTTAACATCACTTGCCATTTGTAAACACTCAAAAGCTAACTGCTATGAATGCAATCAAGGTGATTTGAGTTAAGCAAGCGCTGCTTCGTACTTCATGCAGTTCATTTAAAGCATAAATTTACCTGTGTCGTGTTCAATTTAATTTTTTTTTTTAAATATTCACCCTGGCAAGGAAATAATGTTTCGWGTTATCTAAGAGTGCGAATTAATGTCGATCAGTTAATCCACTGCATTGGCCGTAACCACCAAACCATACAATACATGTAGGATTACTGCTGTAACGGAAGTAAGTGTTGCATTCATTTTTAAATCACCATCGTGCAACAGCGCTGCCYTACTTTCAAAAGCTAACTGCTATACTACGAAAATAATCGATACATTCGCATCGAAGCAAGCGTCGCTGCGCACTTCAAGTATTTAAATTGGAGCGGAAATTTTYTGTAGTRAAMCTCTATTAAAATAACTAAAAAGAACTGAAAACTATGGAGCATAAAATGTTTCAAGATCCGACACTGGAGCGCCACTTCACCGGACACAGCGGTGCCATAACACAGTTGCGCTTCAGCCCCGATGGCCAACAAATCGCAAGTAGTTCCATGGATACCACAGTTATTTTGTGGAACCTCAAGCAGGCAGCGCGTTGCATTCGATTTGCCTCGCACTCTGAGCCCGTTTATGGAGTGAGCTGGTCGCCCAAGGGCACTTTTATGGCCTCCTGTAGCCATGATCGCACTGTCAAAGTCTGGGAGCCCAAGGTACGCGGTGGCTCGGCCGAGTTTCTCGCTCACGGCAAGCCGGTGCGCAGTGTGGACTTTGATCCCACTGGGCAGCTCCTGTTGACTGCCTCCGATGACAAGTCGGCCAAACTGTGGCGCGTATCACGACGTCAGTTCATCTCGTCGTTTACCCAGCAGACCAATTGGGTGCGTGCTGCCAAGTTCAGTCCCAATGGCAAACTCATGGCCACCGTCAGTGATGACAAATCTCTTCGCATCTATGACCTGAACAGTGGGGAATGTGTGCGCACCTTTACCGAGGAGCGTGCTTCACCCCGTCAGCTAGCTTGGCATCCTTGGGGCAATATGGTAGCCGTTGGCCTCGGCTGCAATCGCATCAAGGTCTTCGATGTGGTCCATAACCAGCTGTTGCAACTATATGTCGTACACTCGGCACCTGTCAATGATCTGGCTTTCCATCCAAGTGGCAACTTCCTCTTGTCGGGCAGCGATGACAAAACTATACGCATATTGGATCTACTGGAGGGCAGGCCCAT